GTGGTCTTATAAATTATACCCACTTTTTTTTACTTAGCAGCAAGTTGTTTAATTCAGTATGAAATGAAGTATACAAAATTTCCTGTATATACTCACCATTTACACACATTGATAATGATATCACAATTACCATATCAAACATTTAATGACATAGCACTACTTAGTGGAAAGATGTACTAATAAGGTAAAAACAATAAATAAAATTATTTTTAGACCAAGAGTCTTTTGAAAAAAGTGTGATGTCAAATGGCATCCAACTCCATGCCAAGCTTCATATCTGCCAAGAGTCATTTTTGTCTCATCTCCATGGTAGCTCTTTATTTCCTTAAGACTTGGAGTCACAGATGACACATTTGTTATCTTGAACAGAGTTATTAATTTATTTAACTTATGAATGCTAATTATATGTTTCTGAGTGTATCAAATCTATTAGCATTTGCAATAGTCTTTTTGATAAAACATGATAAAGAGGAACTGCTGGCAGTACCCTTTAGGATCTGCTCTTCTCTTGGCAAGTTGAAGCAGTCTAATATATACTGATAGATACTTTTCTTGGTCTTTTTTTATTGACATATAATTGGCATAGAACTGATATACACTTTTAAGCAGTAACTCACAATGAGGGAACATCAGGCAATGGAAGCAAAAGTTTTAAGTGGTCTATGCAGCAATATAAAATAACTGCACAAATGACAATAGTAAATTCTATTATTCAAGAATCACTTATCACTATAATTACAGTTAACTATAAAGTTCATAATGTTTAAAAGAAATATTAAGATGCTAATTTCCAAATTGAGATTGTGATAGAGAATTGGGTAAATATGCTTTCATTATAATAGCTAACAAGCCATGTCCTGAGTGCTTTTACATTCGTAATTTTATATTTTCAATAACTTTATTCAAGGTTTAGAAAGTATTGATATTTTCTGTTTTACAAATCATAAAACTAGGATCTGAGAAGGTTAGTAACTTGTTTAAGGTTACATATTAGATTAATGGCAGAGATAAACCTTAAGCCTGAAACTAAATTTCATTTACTTCTCTACTAAACTGTTTACCAGATGTTGGGGGTATTAAACCTTTTGTTTTTCTTCCATTTTTGGTCCGACATACATTCTTCTGTGCAAAAAATCACTTGATGCCCTTGAATAAAATACAGATTTCTAGGTCTTCAGCCCAGAGAAGTCTAGATGGTGGTGCTGTATAACCAGCACCCCACATCATTCAATTGAGATGGTCTGACATGTGGAATTAAACTAACACCACCTAAATGAGAGCAAACATGCCGTTTATTCAAATTCTGCTGTAGCAGAGTCAGCCACTATGGCTTGCCTTTGGCAGAGGCTCAAAGGCAGGCAGGGGAGTGGGAAAGCTTTATGTAAAAGTAAAAGCTTTAAGTTATGCCCTTATTGGAGGCTTTTGGCATGCATCTGATTGGAGGTTGCTGGCCTGGGAAAGCTAGAGGCCAACTACTAGAAGCAGAGAGTATTTTATGTGATTGGTTTAGGGAGCGTATTTGGCTTTCTCTCGTTGGTCCTGAGTGGGAAGTAGGGGTAAAAAGATGGAAGTTGGCAATCTTGACCAGTCCTGTTCTGATCCAATTACTTCAGACGTTGTGGTTTGTCTTCTGGGCTGTTTATATGGTTCAGTATTCTGTTGTCATATACAGTCTAACATTGTCCATTTGCATATTCCATCTTTTAGACCATACGCTGAGAAACAAGCTGGGCCTCTGGTGTTCCTTTAATACTGGTCGCCTTTCTTAAGATGGCTAGACTCTAAGCTCCACGAGAGCTATGGACCATTTTTTACCCCCCTATTACAAGCCTAGCCATATCGGGCACTCAATAAAATCTTGCAAATAAATAAATGAATGAGAAATGAAAATATGATATTGGCTTCTTTTTTTTGAACAAGAAAATGAACTTTCTGGTGTAGCACATGGATGTGTGATTGGATGGGCTGTCACCGGGAAGACTGGAAGCTGCTCCTTCCAGCTGCTCTGCTCTAAAACGGTAACCCGAATCCCTGGCCCTGCTGCTCCCTGTTTTTCTCAAAGCTTCCAGGTTAACCCATAGTGTGCAAATCAGCCCTGGCGGCTCCCTCCTGCGTGCATTGCTGGGGGGCGGGATGGCGTTCGTGAGAAAGCGGCAGCTACCTTAAGCATTTCGAAAACAACCTTAACCCCCTACCTTTAGGTTTGCTGCCTTCTCTTCACGCTTTCCTCTCTACTTCTACCCCTACATTAGGGCCGGGCCTGGTGAGAGCTACTGGAAGAAGGGTAAAGGGCAACCCGCTCTCAACCTCTATATGTGCTCTTAACTCAGGACTTAGAGTTTGTCTAGAGAGAAAATGCTTGGTGTGTGTGTGTGTGTGTGCGCGTGACAGAAAGACACCAGGAGAGGAGAAAGCTAGCGGCGCCGACGGTCTCCTCAAGGAAACCGTCCCACCAGCTGCGGGGGGCACCGCCCCCGAGGGGTTGCAGCCCGGAGCCCGCCCACCCTGCCCCCAGCACGGCCCCGCCACCC